CCACCCATTCATCCATATGTACATCCATACACTTAACTAACATTGGCTGAGGACCTTCTCTGTGCCAGGCACTGTTCCAGGCACTTGGAATAAAGTATTAAGTGATTGAACTCAGTATAGTCAGACCTACTTTGTTATGCACCAGCTATGTGCCATTGAGCACATTATTTAAGCTCTCCATGCCTTGGTTTCTCCACCTATAAAATGGTGATACTAATAGTACCTATTTCAGAGGCTGTTGTGAGAATTGGGCAAATTAATGTAAAGTGCCAGTGCTTGCCCTGACCCAAGTCCTTGGCTTGCTAAGGGCTACCCCTTTCCTGTAAGTGTGACTATGGCCTTATCCTACCCATTTTATAACAGAGAAAACTGAGGCCCAAAGATGGAGAATCACTTGGATAAAGCCTGGGAGTCAGAAAGCCATGGAGCGTGGATGTAAACCTGGGTCTCGCACTTTGGGGCCCATGGTCTTCCTTAACCACTGTGATCTGCTGCTTCTTGATGCTTTCTAAGCTGGAGGGGATTTGGGCTCGTGGAGACACAAGGAGAAGAGGAGGGAACTGCAATGACAGAGGCAGGAAGGTGTGCAGGGAAAGCGGTGGGTGGTTGTTTGGGTTATAGTAGAGGATGAATGAATATAGGGAGTGGGGAGGGAGAGATAGGGCCTTAGTGGGAACCAAGAGGCTGGGCTTTATTCTAAGACACGCAAAAACACATGTGCGTGCACATTGGTCCACAGTATCGGGTCCTATTGAATGTGGCCCCCACCAGCTCTTACTGTCCCCACAGACAACTGTTCTATCTTTGTCCCCTGCAGCTGAGGTTCACAAAGTTAGTTCAGGGCTGGGGGAAGGGGAACTAATTAATTTAATTCCTCATTTCCTGGAGGAAGTCCTGATTCTGTTTGTATCTGACAGACAGAAACAGAGACTGAGACTCAAGAGAGACACAGATAGATACAGGCTGGCAGAGACAAAGAGAAAGAGATCAAATAAGAGTCAGAGACACAGAGACAGAGACAGACAGGCAGATGGACAGAACCCTTGGTAGCTGCCAGCCCATGCCCTGCCCCATCCAGCACCCACCCTGCCCTGCCCTGCCCTCCTTGGCCAGGTAGGAAGGTGGAGGCTCAGAGAAGTGCCTCACCTGCCAAGCCACCCAGCAGCTCCAGGTTCCCAACCCCAACTTACCCTGTCATGGGGTCCCTTCTTCTCCAGAAAGCTCTCATGGTAGTGTGAGGGCAGGGCATTCTTGGGCTTAGGGACCCGGGGTGGGCTCAGGGCCGAGGCCATAGCAGGCCGATCTTTGGCCTGGCCTCTCCCTCTGGCACCCAAGCTGGGCCGGGAAGCAGAGAAACAGGTTCAAAGGGAATTTCCTCTCTTCTGTCAGCTCCGGAGCTCCCTCCCCTGCCAGTGCTGGGCGGGGCCTGAGCCTGGGCAGGTCCAAGGATCCTGGGGAAATCCCATCCTGTTTGGTCTCTCCCAGAGGTCAGGGAGCAAAAAGGCCATGCTGGAATCATGGAATGGGGGAGGAAACCATAGGGAGGGTTTCAGTGTGGAACAGAGACTGAATGACTGTGCACCAGGAAGAGGTACCTATTTCAGCAAAGGCCTGGAAGTGAGAAAGGAAGGAGTGTGGTGCCCAAGTGGCTAGGGGATATAGCAAGAGAGGACACAACAGGAACATAACATGAAGGCCTGAAATGCCCGTTTGGCTGTCTGGACATTGGAATAATCATGCCTAGATATACCCCCAAATCTTGCTGGGCTTCTGATAGGAATTGCACTAAACTTGTATATCAGTTCGGGGAGACATGATATCTTTATTATGCCAAGACTTCCAATCCATGGACATGGTCTGTCTCTTCATTTATTTAAATTTTTGAATGTTTTCATCACTGTTGTGTAGTTTTCAGTATACAAGTCCTGTACCTATTTTGCCAGATTTACAGCCAAAAAAAGGCTTTTTTTTTTCTTCTTTTCTTTTTGAGCCTTGTATTTTTTCCACTGATTTTTAGAGAGAGTGGAAGGGAAGGAGGGAGGGGGAGAGAGAAGAGAGAAAGGGGGGGGAGAGAGAGAGAGAAGCATTTATGTGAGAGAGAAACATCGATTTGTTGCCTCCTGCACATGACCCGACCAGGGCCAGGGATTGAACCTGCCACCCAAGTATGTGCCCTTGACCAAGAATTGAACTCATGTCCTGGAGAATATTATGCTAAATGAAATAAGCCAGGCAGCAAAAGAAAAATATCACATGATCTCGCTTATACGTGGAATCTAAAGAACTTAATAAATTGACGAGCAGAATAAATTCAATGACATGGAAGCATAGTTGAGACTGACCAAATGTCAGAGGGATGGAGGGGAGCGGGGGGGTGGAGGGGGAGAGAGTAACCGAAGAATTTATATGCACATATACACAACCCAAGGACACGGACAATGGTGGGGAGAGGGAC